TTAAACATCAGGAGAAGTGAGTTGGGTTGTGACTCGTGTATGGACATATAATAGAGATTTTCCATTGAAGCCTTTTAAAGCGGAGGGATAAAGAAAAACCCAGCTCGTCCTTCGAGGCTTAAGCAAGGAAAACACAGACTCATTTAAACACAATGGTTCTGTTGGACTCTGTCTCTGTACCTTGAACTGCTTCTCACAGGTTAAAGCATAAATTAATAACCAAGAAGAAAGCAGGTGTCAATTAAAGGTTGACTCAGATTAATTATGAAATGCAAATTATTACTGAACACAGGAAAAGTGCCCACAGGTTTGTGTCATTCTACAATAAAGTGACTAAATGTCAACATATTAAAGAAAAAAAATATAAACCATCACATTTTTAAAATTATCTAAGGTCACGCAGAGCTGAACCACCGGACCTGTTTAAAGTAAATCAAAAAGACTCTACAGCCAAAGTTTCAAACAGTAATCTCATGCATTTGTGTTCGGAGTATGTGTTAGGAATAGCTACAACCACATCACATTTTAGCTTAAAGGGATCTCCAACTAGTTGTAACATTAGACATTATTTGGTAAACATTGATTTCAATAAAATGAGACTAAAAATACAGTAGGCTGTTTAGCTCTTGTAAATTAAACAAATATATAGTGTTACAACCTCCTCAGATAACTTACGACACTTACTATAACATAAAAACAAACAATTAACCACTTAACTTGATGTCAGTAGAAACTGAGTTTATTTTACAATAAAGGCAAAAAACAGGAGCAAAATTAAAAAAAAACAACAAAMACAGGGAAGCTTAAAGACTTGGTTATAGTCACACTTTGGGTAGTCGCGCAGGGCACACCCTCGCCAGCGGTGGTGGTGTTTATACTTACATTGTAAATTTTTCCTAAAGTACATGTGGAAGGACACTTTATAACCTGTGAAATGTTCTAAGTAAGAGAGCAAACGCGTGACGAACAAACTGTTTGAATGGTGCGTGGCGCTAGCTTAAAGGGGCAATGTTATGTGTTTCTATGCCACCTTTAGCTGTTATTAAAATGCTGTTTTCATGTTTAAATAGAAAATAAACTTATCTTCACATCACTTCCTCTTCTAAACGCCTTGAAATTGCCCTCTGTCTCTTTAAGAACCACCTTCCGCTTCTGTCCCGCCCATTTCAGCGCGGGGGGTGGGCGCACTATGATGCAGTTTACTTGGCATCTGAAAATACATTTCTTCAAAGGTACTTTTAAACTGAAAAGAGCTTCACTGAGTGAGAACTAATGTTGAGAGCTCAGTAGACAGTTTGTTTCACTTTCACTTTCACCCGAGAACCTGCAGGAGTCATGGGCAGGGTGTGTGTGGGGGTGGGGGGATCTGCCATGAGGAAGCTCGTTTCTGGTCCCCACCTGTCATTTTGCTCCTCAGCCTGGCTGCCTAAAAACGCTGCAGGGTTTCTCAAACATGCATGAATGAGTCAAAGCAAGGCTTTGGGCATGTTTTTTTTATGAGAGTATAACATTATAACATGATATAAAACTGAAAAAAGTTAATTTTACATGATATTTCCCCTTTAAGGCCTGGTTYATAGTTGACGAGTCGTGCCGGGACACTTCGCAGGGCCAAGGCGCAGGGGCGGGGACAGCGCGATTGCATCACTTTTGGAGCGACTCGTCAACTATAAACCAGGCCTTGAGCTTCAGGGTCTCCAAGGCCAAAATAATAGTAACACTTTACAATAAGGTACACAAAATTTGCTTAACTACTGAGACACAAAGGGGAACTAATGAGTACTAATAATATACTTTTACATTTACCTTAAGGGTGTTAGTTTGTGGAACGGAGATAAAACAGTTAAAATATTTGTTTGCGTGTGTGTGTTGTGTGTGTGTGTCTGTGTGTTAAAATTATGATGAAAATGGTATAATATTGTCTAAAGTATTGTTTKTTTTTTTTGTAATTTTGTGTGTTGAGTTATTTTCTTTGTATGTTGACGGTGAACTTTTGAGTTGGTGGTTGATTTTATTTTGCGAGTATAGGACAGATATAAGTTTATACTTCTTTCTGCTCCTTTTCATTCATGACTTTATTTTACTTAGTTTTGTTTTCCTTGATATTTTGATTTTGTATGCATCATTGTGGTGTTTTTTCAATTTTTATTTTTTATTGGATGACTTGTTTTGTATTCATATTTCATTTCATGATTGAAATAAATAAACAAACAAACCTTAGAAATGACTTAGTAATACTGAGTAATTACTGAATAGTTRCTCAGTAGTTACTGAGGACACAAAGGAAGACTACTGAGTAGTTATTAAGTAGTTATTGTGTAGTTACTAAGTACACCAAAAATGAACGACTGAGTAGTTAATCATTACTTACTCARTAACTGACCATTAAGTACKTTTTTGTGTACCCTAAAGTAAAGTGAAGCATCTTCCCAAGAAGTTACCGAGGAACTAATTATTACTTACTCAGTACCTGACCAGTAACTACTGTTTTTACTTAGAAACTACTTAGTAGTACTACTTAGTAGTACTTAGTAGTTTCTGAGTAGTTCCTCCCTGGTGACCTTAGTAACTGTAATTAAGCAATTTTTGTGTACCTTATTGTAAAGTGTTACTGAAAATATTCATTTTAGAATATACACATATAAATGCTCACACAGTAATATTCACAATATGCTGCAAATTCAAATTCACCACACAGACAAGATCACTGCAGATCAAGGCCCAGGAAAAAGAGACAACACCTCTGAGATGGGTGGAGTGGTTAACGAGCAGCAATTCGCCTCACCTGTGGCAGACAGGTAGACCTGAAACACAGAGGAGGAGAAAGCTCTCTTATGAGAAGAGCCCTGTCACAAATGTTRCCATGTYATTTACGCCACAAAGCATTGTGGGTAAATGATGTTTTCTGGCTGCTGTGTGTTTACYAAGCTCTATTCAACTTGAACTTTGGACAATATGTGACATTCAGCCTTTTAAAATGATTGTGTTGAGAGAGGAGAATGTAGAAATGACTCAGCCTGAAGCTGAAGATGGAGACGACAGAGCTGATGAGAAAATCAGCTTTAGCCTGTTAGCTTTCACCTCGTCTCCTCAGCAMATATGGTGATGTATGATGTTATAGACCAGGGGTGCMCAAACAKTTTCCCTGAGAGGGCTAAAATAAAAATCGATCTGAGGGCTGTGGGCCAAATGCAACAATATCATACATGAAATTCAAATACTTCTTAAGTAAGTTGTTTTATTTTTTTATGATTAAGCTAGGAGCCAGTGCGGTTGGCCACATTTCTTTTGTTTGTTTGTTGTTTTTAAGTTCATGGACGTGGAGAAAATCTGACGTATGCTCGGGCGCAAAGGCTCATGGGAGTTTTCATAAATCAAAATTTTAGTATTTGTGATCTTTTAAAGTGTGCAAATCTAGATGTGTGCTTATTTCTAATCTAAATGTCTCTTGGAGTTACTTATTTTATGATTAATCTTAACACTGTAAAATGCTAAATAAAGTACCACTAGTTCCTTATATAGTTGGACCAATGGTTGGAATGAGTAAGTGGAAATATACTGTAGTGTTTCTACACAGGAGAATAGTAACCAGGACAAATGCTGGTGGGCCTAATCAAATGACTTGGTGGCGGCCCCACTTTGTGCAGCTAATAAATGTGGCCTTAACTATAAAGCTAATTTACTAAACTTCACTTTTAATTGTTTCAACCCATATATTGTGCAAAACAGTGGTGGAAACTGTTCCACTAATCTGCAAAATCAATAATAGCAGAACTAGCTTCTCATTTAGTGGATAGGCATTTTTGCTAACTTTGGAAACTGTCAACATTTGGGTTGACTACTTTATTAAAGTTCTGTGGTTCACTGGATATTTTACGAAAACACACACACACACACACACACACACACACACACACACACACACACACACACACA